CTTCAAGACACATTCCTGCACGGCTTGCTTGCGATAGATACCACGCCTGCTCCTATCAACACACATTATTTCATACCGATGCACTTGTGTGCCTTGAGCAACAACTCTATGTCTCCGTGCCTTTTTGATTTTATCTTCCATGTACTTTGTCACTACGTTGCCAAACACTATGTTGTTATCGGCCATGGACGGACCAATTTTCTTGTATCGATCCCTAAAGTAGGCTTGCGTGCCGTGAAGGATGAATTCAACAATAGCAACCAATGGAAGTACCCGAACTCCTCGCATTACCCAGTTGTACACCTCTGCCAAATTGGTTGTCATTATGCCATACCGAGATCCATCGGTGTCGAACAATAGAGCCCACTTCTCCTTAGGCTCATTCTCAATCCACTGAGAGAAATTTCTGATGGCCGACCCTGACCTCCTTCTCATTGTTGGTGGGTCATCATGTAATGCACCAAGAGGTATGGGAGGCTCGTCACCTTCAACTTGTGGTCTGCGAGATTGCTCATCTGTTTGCTTCGTTGTCAACTCATCCAACTTGTCCCACAACTCATTAAATTTCTTCTCTTGGTTCTGTGCACAGAGCCTCTTAAAGAGATCCATAAGATGCTTGTTCTTGAATTGCTTGTAGAAATTTGCACCCATGTGACGCATGCACCACCGACTCCGAACATCAGGCCACTTAGCTGGAAGTCCCTTCTCATCCCAACCGTTCTGCAAGTAGTCAATAGCCCGCAACATACCCGCATGACGATCATGTATAAGGCAAACGTTGGGCCTCATACGCACCACTGCAATGTGCACTCTCTCTAGGAACCAGTACCAGCTTTCAGTGTTCTCACTCTCTACAAATACGAAAGCCATAGGTAGAACCTGGTTGTTCTCATCACACCCAATTGCTGTCAATATCTGACCTCGGTATTTACCTGTCATAAAAGTTCCATCTATGCATAGAACAGGTCGACAATGCACAAAAGCATTGATGCAAGCACCCAATGAGAAAAAGGCTCTTTGCAGCACACTCTTTGTTCGATCTTCAACCGATGTAAATGTATGTAGGTCATAGTAAGTATTATTATTCCTCTGGGCAATGGTGGCTAACAAACGAGGCAAATTATCATAAGAAGCTTCAAATGTGCCATACCTCATCTCAATGATCTTTTGTTTGGCTCTCCAGGCCTTTGCATAGCTTATGGTGTACTTGAATTTGTTCTCGATGTGCCTAATAATTGATTTTGGTTCAAAGCCAATGTTACCAACAACACTGCTGTACATCTCACTTGCCACAAAAGCTGAAGTGATGTTTCGGTGATACTTCTCCACCCCTTGTAAGTAGCACTTGTGCTCGGTCACAATGCTAACTTTCCAATAATCATTCCATTTACCCTTATATGCATGGACACGCCACGGACATTCTTCCTTCATGCACCTCACTTCATACACATAATTTGTTGACTTGACCACCCTAAACTCTCTCTGCAATGAAACTGCCCAATGCTTCACCGCCTCCTTCATCTCATCCTTATGAGCATACCTTGCACCCTCAATTACCTCGTTCTCCTTATACTCCCAGGGTACATGATCACCCTCTGATATAACAAGACCAGAGAAGTCCTCATTTGCCCAATCAGTGGCCATTACATCACCTTCCTCATCGGATGATGTGTCGTCCTCCGCTTGCTCATTATCCGAATCTTCCCTCTCCATTTCATCAACAATTATACCGACTCTCTCCCCCTCATCCGCCATGCCCATGGCCTGCTCCTCCCTTGGTTGATTTTCCTCATTTTGCATCGATGGTCCAACAACATCCCCTGCATTGCTAGGACCCTCCACATCTTCGGTTTGCATTGAAACATTTGTATCTTTCTCTTGTACCGACACAAATATAACGAGGGGCCATGACCGTTCAAAAGCCATTTCCACATACCGTCTCCAAGCAGCAGTGCTGTCCATCGGCATTAGTTCCCAAAAATAACCTTCTATTGCACGACTCACTACAACAGATACTGACATTGTGTAGACTTCTTGGTCTATTCTAAATCCTCTCAACAACCAACTATAAATTGACTCAAATGTTCTCTCCGCAGGCCTATCGATGCCCTTAGATGTCATTACAAAATCTGACAGATCAACACCATCTGGACCAAATCTAATATTTCCTTCACCGTGAACTATCTGAAATGTGACCTTACTTGACATTGTGCCTGATGAAAACAATAACTGCGTTAACCTCGCATTTCTGTACTACGCCCTAAGTTACATTCTCTACAATATTGTTCTCTAAATTTCTAAAAGTAGGTTACATTCTCCAGATCAAACTAAACTACATCTTACAATTAACACTACTGTCTATGTCTCAATTCATACTATTATATTCTATGCTCTGGATCTACACATATGTGCTGTGTGCTACAGATCTGCTAAAATATATGGAACTAAAACTAAAACGCAACATATGTACTCAAACGTAATATATTAGTACAAATGCAAAAGATGTATGGGAGCATACCTGTGATGAAGTGAGCGAACCAGCAGGGCTTCGCCGCTCCCCTTCTGCTGCCCTCCCCTCTCTCTCTCTTTCGTTTTTTTGGATTTTTAGTGAATATAATGAAATTTCACAGGGGAGGGGCTTGGCTTTATAGGGGGGAGGCAAAAATCGCCCTCCCCCAGGGCGGCAAGGGGGCCGCCTGCAAAATTCCATGCCCCCTCGCCGCCCATTTGCAGGCGGCCCCCCGCACAGTGCAAAATCGCCCTAGCGGAGGGCGGCAAGGGGGCCGCCTGCAAAATTCCATGCCCCCCCTCGCCGCCCATTTGCAGGCGGCCCCCCGCACAGTAGAAAATCGCCCTCGCGGAGGGCGGCAAGGGGGCCGCCTGCAAATTTCGTTGACGGCCGTCGCCCGAGAGCGAACGGCCGTCTGCCACGTCATTTTCGCCGCCCTCTGGGAGGGCGATTTTTAGGCGACTATTTCCGTCAATTTTCAAAATGGAAAATTATTTTTGTAAAACTTTTAATAAAAAAAATTATAAATAAAAAAAATTCGCGTCGCGCGGGACTCCAAATTTGCCGTGGCCCAACAAGGCCCATGGGGCATCACCAGTAAGCCCATGATGCCGCGCCACGACGCGACGCAGTGCGCTGGCCTTGCGGACAAAACGCACCGGCGGCTTTGCGCCCGTCTTCACGGGAAATCGAGGAGCCGAGCGAGACGCTGCTAGGAGAGAGCGACGTGCCGTGTTTTGTCGCCCAAAAACGTGTGGGACGGTGATGGATCGAATCAAATGATAGCCTGTCTGGTTTGCAGGTGAGACGTGAGACCGCGCGTTGTGTAATGCTGGAATTAAGTATATTTTGCCTTTTTTTTAAAATTTTTTCTACAAAATAGATAATTGAAAAAATTATTCTAGGAATAGACTTTTTTTCAATGCCAGGACCCTAGCGCCGAGGCCCATCATCAAGGCGCCAACGACACTGGCGCTCATACCCTCGCCCCCTGCGGAAGCTAAGTGACTAATGTAAAGAGAGTTGGTATTGAGGACTTACAGATAGATCCCCGATGCTAGTGTTATTGATGCCAAGGACATATTTATAAGAAAAAAAATATTTATATTTTAACCCATTTTGGATTTGTTTTTTTTACAAATAGGTCTTCACCACTAGTGTTATTGGCGCTGACCTCTTTTACATCAATGACTTAGCATTTGCAACGGGTGAGGGTGTCAACTCGGTGCCGCACCAAGGCATTGAACCTCAGCGCCAATGACGTTAACGTCAAAAAAAATGCATTTTTTTCAGAGGTATATTTGTGTTGACGGAAAACATGGCGTCCTGGGAGCTCTACTTAATTTCAATGCAAGTCTAAGGTTAGCCTCGAGTGTGTCAAGGGCGTGCCAGCTGGTTTGATCCTGCAACCAGCAAGAAAATAATAAATAGAGTGAGTCAGCCGATAGTTGATCGGTCGAGATAGGCCGACGACGTATCACTGGTGATCCTAGCCGATGTAATTGAACCAGACCGGCTGTGGATTGGTATATAAATTAAGCACAAAACCCTAAATATACCTCATCGGCTGTAATAGCATCTACTCAGTTGTCAAATATATTTTGGATGATACCATAGAAATATAAAATAGGTTTTTAGAAAGGACTACAAATATAAAAAATCCAGGTGTGTGATGCACGTGGTATGAATCTCGGCACCTATTTCGTTGCTGGCATTAAATTTCGTCAAATATCTCCTTTTTTTTTTTTCAGATTTGGACATGGACTGGCCTGGCTGCTAATCTGAGAGATTGATGCTACGTTTACAAGGGACAGGACTCGCGAAATGTTCAACGAGATCACACAAATGGTCAAAAAAAAAATGGGAGCAATTTGAGCTGCGGTAGTGGACTATGACCGATAACAGGAGAAACCACAGCTGTTCAGTTTGATTCTAGGGGAAACACACTCAAGAAGAGGACATTAGATAGCTGCAAATTCCATGTGCGATATTGGGAAAGAGAGAATAAATAATGAAGCTGTTGCCCTGATTGGAGTTTTGGACCAGGACCAATTGTGCGACCAAGGACCTGTTTGGAAGATTAGCCCAGGGCTAATTTTGAGAGTTAATGTTTAGTCCTGAATTTGTAGGCTAAACATTAGCCTAGGGTGGCATGTTTGGATCGATGGGCTAATTCAAGGCTAAAAGGTGGAGAGAGAGTAGAAAGAGAGAGGAGAGAGAGCTGTTTTTTTATGGTCCCCACACAAAATTAGCCCCATTAGCATCCCTTGGAGGGGCTAATGTTTTGAGGGAGGCTAATTCATATTAGCCCAAAATTAGCCCACCTGTTTGGATCCTTGAGAGCTAAATTGAGGCTAAAAGGTGATAGCTAAACATTAGCCCATGGAACCAAACAGGGCCCAAGTTTTGGACCAGTATTAACTTCCACATTTGCCTTTAAATTTAAAAGGCCTCTTTTCAGCACGCATGAACTTTTCAATGTGAAGTGAACTAAGAGAAAAAATTGTACTGAAATTCATGTGAGCATTTCTACGTTTAACCGAATGAAGTTGTGAAATTGCCCAAACGGGAATTAATAGGGAAATCTAATGAAATGTTTGCAACCTCCCAAGATTTTAGAAAAGAATATCTCTGTTCAAAAAAAAAACAAATTACGTCCAAATTTACAATGTTTCTATGAGCGAACATGTTTCGATTTTTTGCATGCGATCTCCGGAATGGACGGAGAATGCGCCGTCGTCGACGCTCGTCGTCGTCACCGTCGACGACGACGGGCACGAAGCGGCGCCGGAGTCGTCGCCGTCGGCGTTCTGCACTATGGCCAGCGTGATGAAGCTCCGGTACGTGGGCGCTAGCTCCGGCAGCGGCGCGTCGCCATCGAGGACCTGCACCACCAGCCGCATCGGCGGCCTCGCGGCGGGCGCCGGGTGGGTGCAGAGGAGGCCTAGCTTGAGCACCAGCGCCGCCTCCTCGTGGTCGTAGTCTCCGCGGAGCCGCGCGTCCGCCGCGCCGGCGATGTCCCCCTTGTGCCACCGGTCGAGCACCCAGTCGGCAAGCACGAACTCGCCGTCGTCGCCGTCGTCGCCGGTGGCGCCGCCGTGCTCGATGGGCCGCCGCCCGCACGCCACCTCCAGGACGAACGACCCGAACGCGAACACGTCGGTCGCCGGCGTCACCCGCCGCGTGTGCGCGAGCTCCGGCGCGAGGTAACCCAGGGTGCCCACCACCCGCGTCGTGCGCGGGTCGGCGGCGCCGCGGCCGTACAGCCGCGCCAGCCCGAAGTCGCCGAGCCGCGCGTCCATCTCGCCGTCGAGGAGCACGTTGCTCGCCTTGACGTCGCGGTGGACGACCACCTGCTCCCAGCCCTCGTGGAGGTAGAGCAGGCCGGCGGCGACGCCCCTGATGGCGCGAACGCGCTGCGCCCAGCCCAGCGGCGGCGCGCTCTGGCCGTGCAGCCACCGGTCCAGGCTGCCGTTCGGCATGTAGTCGTAGACGAGCAGGAGCTCGCCTCTCCGGCGGCAGTAGCCGAGCAGCGGCACGACGTTGCGGTGGCGGAGGCGGCCGACGCTGGCGACCTCGGCGACGAACTGCCTCATCCCCTGCTCCGCGTCGTGCGACAGCGACACGACCTTCACGGCGACCTCCGTCCCGGACGCCGGGAGGACGCCCCTGTACACGCGGCCAAAGCCGCCGACGCCGAGCAGCCGCTTGCCGTCGAAGCCGCGGGTGGCGCGGACAAGGTCCTTGTACGCAAACCGGTGCGGGCCGAACTCCACCTCCCAGTCCTCCCGGACCTCGGCGTGCCGCCGCCGCCGCCGCCGCCATAGGAGGACGGAGGCGACGGCGACGACCACCGCGAGCGCAAGGAGCGGCGCGGCCACCGGCACGAGGACCTTGAGCACCATGGACCGCCGCTTGGTGCTGGCGCGCGGAAGCTTGGGGAGCTTCGCGTAGTCTAGCGGCGGCGCCGGTCCGTCCATGGCGAAGCTCCAGCCGAGCACGTAGTGGCGCGTCTTGTGCGGCCCCGTCGACGACGAGAGGCCGACGTACGCCGCCGCGTCCGCCGCCGCCACAACCGGCGAGAGGTCGACGGCGACGGAGAGGAGGGGCCTCCTCGGCCTGGGCACCTCGACGGGGGCCAGCGTCACGTCGATCGCCGCGGCGGCGCCGTCGTAGTCCACCCAGACCTGCATGGCGGCGCCGCTGAAGAGCGTCAGGTTCTCGAACTCGCCGGTGTCGTCGGCGTAGTAGCCGGCGGGCATGGAGGCGACGGACGCCAGCCCGTTCACGTCGACGCCGACGTGGTTGCCGTTGATGTCCCCGAACTCCTGGTTGCGGATGGTGTCGAGCTCGACGGCGAACACGCGGTTGCTCGCGTTGCCGTTGTTCTCGCTGTTGAAGAGGCCCAGGAACTGGCTCGGCAGCGCCGCGGACAGGTTCTTGCTCGGCGCGACGAAGAAGGCGAGCCCGTTGCCGCTCACCGTGACGTACTCGGCGGCGATGGCGAACACGAAGGTGGTCGAGAAGGACCGGGCGGCGGCGGGGGCAGTGGCGTTCGGCTTCGGCGGCGGCGCGACGAAGCGGAGCGGCGCCGGGTGGAACGCGTGGCCCTTCATCTGGGACGTGACGTTGGTCAGCATGAGCTTGCCGTCCGGCTCGACCATGGCCATGCCATCGAGGTCGAGCGGCGCGCCGGCGAAGCCGTCGTACCTGAAATGGTCGCTATCACCACCGGCCGCCGCCGCCGCCGCCGACGACTCATGGCTAAGGATAAGGACGTGGAAGAGTAGTAACACAAGGAAGGAGACGATGGAGTTAGGCTTGGGATGCATGGATGGATCAATGGGATTTTGCCGTGCAAAGCTGAATAACTCATGTGTCCTAACTCCTAAGTCGTAATTAACCAATTCTAGTTAGGTAGGATACTATCAGGTCTGTTTATTTTTGCAAAAAACAGGAATTTGGTTAAGCAAGCAATCATAGTAAATCAATAGGGAATCGCTAAATGGCATTTGACATTAAACTGATGAGGCCAAAATCTTGCAAATTTTCGACTTTAAGATTGCTTCACGATTCGTGTTCTGAAATCCCAGTTTTTCTCCTCTAACTCCAGCGACCGGCTGCAATCTAACAAGTTACGGTTTAGTGTCCCGGGTTAGAGTGGCAGTGGGAGGTGGGAAGGGAAGAGGAGGAAGATCTTTGGGCTTTAAGGGATGGTCATGGAAGACGGCGAGATGCCGGTGGCCGGGCTAATGACAAGGCACTGGCATGGAAGCCACGAGGATGGAGGATAGCGGTGGGCCGACGGCAGGGTAAAGTAAAGTTTATGGTTAGGAGGCGACTGCCGATGGTGGCAAACCTGGTGGCAGTGAGTTGTCGGAGACGAGGAAAATAACAGGGATGGGACACCTTGTAGCTATCAGCTTAAGGAGAGAAGGAATGGGGCGACAGCCACAGTGTTCTCGCCAGTACCATTGGCGTCCTCCCGCCAGACGACAAGACTGAACGGCTGCGGAGCATCAAGCACTCTCCTCTCGTGGCGACACTAGGAGTGAGGGGGGACGAGAGGAGGGATGGAGTTAACGTTAGGTTTTCTTGCATGAATCTTAAAGCAATCTAACGGTCAAGAATTATAGATAGACAGTCCATCTATATTACTTTCTTTTTAGTTTTTTACACTATTAAAGTATTGAACTTGCAACACCACACTCAAAACATTTTAATAAATACACCTACACCTATATATTTACTGTACATTACTATAGCTTAGGGAGTTTGATATTTCACATATGTGGAACAGGTTTCCAAAAGAGGATAAGGAGGGAGAACATGGTAAGTTTTGTTTTTTTTTCATAAAAAAATCTCCCTCCTATGGAAAAAGTACGAATTACCCTCCCGAACTATCGCGGTCGTCCGAATTACCCACCTAAACCAAAAACCGGACATTCTTCACCCCAACTATGCAAAAAAGACGAATTATCCCTCTCAACCCAATCCGCGGTGGTTTTGGTCTACGTGGCGTACGCGTGGCAGTCCAGTCAGCATTCTATTTATAAAAAAAATATGGGACCCACCTGTTATATCCTCTCTCACTCTTCATCTCACTCTTCTCTCTCTTCTCTGTCGCACTCTGCGGCAGGCGGGGGACACAAAGTGGCGGCGGCGGCGCGCACGCACACGGACGGGGCCGGAGGCGGCGGCGTGGCCGAGACGCGCATGGCGGCGAGGACGACGGCACGCACGGCGCGGCGGCGCGCACGCTCGCGGATAGGGGGACCTCCGGCGTGTCGCCGTCGACGCGTTCGCGTGGCTCAAGGCGCGGTGGGCGTGCCTCCAGAAGCAGGGGCGGATCTACAGTACTAGGGCCGGTGTCAGGTGACACCAACGACTTTCGGTAAAACCTATAGCAAAACTGATTATCCATATGTTATAGCACCATGATCTAAGCATAATTAGTATATTATGACACCGATAGACACGTTATGATACCAACGAATCGATTTTCTAGATCTGCCACTGTCCAGAAGCGCACGGAGGTGAAGCTCCAGGACCTCCCCGTCGTGCTCGGCGCCTGCTGCGTCCTCCACAACATCTGCGAGACGCGCGGCGAGGAGCTCGAGCCGGAGCTTCGGTACGAGCTCGTCGACGAATAGACCTCACCGGAGACCCCCGTCCGCTCCGAGGCCGCCAAGCGCGACAGGGACAACATCACCCACAACCTCCTCCACCGCGGCTTGGCCGGAACCACCTTCTTCTGACGATCGATTCGATCACACCGCCGCCGCTTCTTGATTTCCCCCTTGGTCCACTTGCAGCATCTCCATTACTATTGTGATTTGTCAATGTCCTGCAGACCTGCAGTTTGATTGCTTTGCTTTGTCGTCGGCGTGAACTCTTCATTGTTTGATTGCCTCAAAGGCTGGTTGATTGTTTACCAGTACTCCTTGATTGCATCTTCGTTCTGCCGCGACAATGAAGCCGGCGCTGGCAACCGCGGGGGCACCCTCCTCGAGATCCTCCGCGGGATCGACGAGCCGCCGAGCAAGCTCGAGCTCCAGCACGCGGGATCAACGAGCCACCACCTCGAGTTGGGCTCGCTGGAGACGCCGACGACGACGCGGAACTCGGCGTGGATGGGGCGGCGCATCGAGGAGGTCAAGGCCTCGAGCCTGCGGCCGGGTGCTTGCCGCAGAGCCGTGCATGCCGCCGTCCTCGCCGCCGCCTCCGGCCCCTGTCCGCGTGCGTGCGCGCCGCCGCGCCGTGCGTGCCGCTGTCCTCGCCGCCGCCTCCGGCCCCCGTCCGTGTGCGTGCGCGCCGCCGCCGCCACTTCGTGTCCCCCACCTGCCGCCGTGCGCGTGAGAGAGAGAGAGGGGAAGAGTGAGACAGAGAAGAGAGAGAAGAGAGAGGAAGAGTGAGAGAGAGGATATGACAGGTGGGTCCCACATTTTTTATAAATAAAATGCTGACTGGGCTGCCACGTGTACGCCACATAGACCAAAACCACCGTGGATTGGGTCGAGGGGGTTAATTCGTCCGGTTTGTATAGTTGGGGGTGAAGAATGTCCGGTTTTATGGTTCAGGGGGGTCATTCGGACGACCACCATAGTTCGGGGGGTAATTCGTACTTTTCCTCGTCCTAAATAGGTTCTAGTGGAAATTAATTTTGGACGAAAAATTATATATACCAGTAATAATATTTTTAAGAAATCTCACCTTTACATTGGGATTTTTTGCGACTCCTCTTCTTTCTAATGGTCTTTTTACTACTCAACGTTCTTTGTGATGGCAGCGCTCAAATTTGTTCTCGCTTTTGTGATATCATAGCAGTGTGCTGTACGCTACTATTAAAAGTTTGATTGAAATTGAAACGATGTGACGGAAAAATTGAAAATTTATGTGTGTAGAAAAGTTTTGATACGATGAAAAAGTTGAAAGTTTGTGTACTAAACAAGGCCTAATACTCGAGCTAGGCAGCCGGTCAACTGAGTCACCATTAGGACCACCAAAGCTAGGAAGAACACAGGAAAGTTCCTGGTTGATTGTTACGCTCGCCATCAGATTTGTGCTGCTCAACCATAGCCCGCCATAGGATTTTTTCTGCGGAATCTATGGCTTCTTGTTTGTCTGTGTTTGACAAACTTGTTTCCACGGTTTTATCTCTATACCGTTCATGATGGAGGATTTGGAGCTATTTTGAAGAACAAATAATTATAAGATAGAATTAAATAATTATGATAAGGCGAAAAAAGAGTCACGATATTCATTTAATCATTCCAAAGGTTTAAAAACAGCCACGCTTAATAGGAGAAACGAAATATATATATATATACACCGTTTATATCGTGATTAGTCTAAATTAAAATGTAAAAATGTGTAAATTGAACAATAGTCATATACAAAACACATTTGTATTTATGAAAGAAGAGGGGACCATTGTATATCAAATCCAATTCTATTTTGAATCTTGATCCTCACAAAATTACACATTAAAGACCTCTATTTATAATGTTATCTATCTATACTTAGGCTTCGATCGTTCCCGGGTGTTCTGGAAGATTGAGAGAGAAAACATCTCGTTTTCCGCGCGCACGCTTCCCAAACTACTAAACGGTGTGTTTTTTGTAAAAAAAATCTATAGGAAAGTTGCTTTAAAAAATCATATTAATCCATTTTTAAAATTTAAAATAGTTAATACTCAACTAATCATACGCTAATAGCTCACCTCGTTTTGCGTATCTTCCCAATCTCCTCAATCCCCTTCTCCTCAAACACACCCTTAGTATAAAAAAGCAACACTTCACTTCTTTTCTAGGTATAACCCAGAAAACATACACAAAAATTGGTTTTTCTTTCCTCATTCATCCGATCTACTCATCCAACGACAAAAGAGGGAAGTATATGGCTGTCGTTTGTGATCTTTTTTTTTTAGGGGGTAAAAGCAGGAGCTCTGCCTATTTCATATAAGGAGAAGAGAGAGAAACCAAAGTTTTTACAAACAAGGTTACAAAAGGATCCCAAGCGGACCCTCCTCCGATAAAGACAGGTTGGAGACAAGAATTTTTAGGAAATGGAAAGCAACTAATGTGAGGATACGAGAACTACTCATCTAAGTTGTGAGCTCCATCATAGGCTTTGCACATATCGATTATGGACTCAACGACTTGCATCACTGTGCTGTATGCCCCATTGAAAATCCTAGCATTTCTTTGAAGCCAAATGCCCCAAACTGTGTAGATGAAGAGGCCATCAAAGTTTCTTCTTTGTTCCTTCGCCATCTCTCTCCTGCAGGCCGTCCACCATCCAAGCATGTCTCCATTGTAAGCGGCGGCTGGTGGCATATGAAGGCCCGCTTTCTGCCAAATGTATCTCCAGACTTGCTTTGCGAAGGATCATTCCATGAGGAGGTGGGTGGCTGTCTCCGGTTCCACACCACAAAGTGGGCAGATGTGGTTGTTGTCCCAGCCGCGGAGGCTGAGTTTGTCAGCTGTGAGGATCTTCTTATGTATCATAAGCCAACCGAAGAATTTGCATTTGTTTTCTACTTTTGCCTTCCAAAAGAAATCTGACATGTTATCTTGTACGCCTCCAACGAATTGTATCATGTAAGCGGATTTTGCCGAGTAGGTTCCGTTTGGGGACCATCGCCACATAATCGTGTCCTCCGTTCCTTCTTGCAGAACGACCTGCTGGATTTGGTGCCATAGGTGGATGAATTCTCTGACTTGGGCTGTGGTGTTCATTCTTCGCATCTGTCTCAACCAGCGGTTGTCCTGTAACTCCTGCGCCACCGTTCTGTTCTTTCTTGTTGCAATCTGGTAGAGTGAAGGAGATAGCTCTTTAGGGGATAACCCATCGAGCCATCTGTCATGCTAGAATTTTGTCTTTTGGCCATTTCCTAGTGTTTGTGATCATACGGTGAATTCACTAATTCTCAATCCTTCCCACTGAGAACGCGTGACTCCATCTCCATGGCCCTAAACAACGCATGATTAATCATCGCCACTCCCTTGCACGCCATCCCCGCTACCGTGCCAGGGCCATCCATGCGGCTGTGCCATTCGCCTGCTATCCGCCTCCACCTAGGATGACGTGTCCTCGCATTACGGACGTCGCTGCGCCTCCCGCTGCAAATCTCATCCTCCCGCATTGCCGGCACTTCGCGAGGAGGCGAGGCCGCTGTCGCAAAACCCCTCGCCGGTCTCCAGCCATTGCCACTTCGCCATCTCCGTTATCCTCCCAAATGTTGCGCACCTCTTGCCGCAAATAGCTTCCTCCCGCCGCAAATCGCAGCCTCCCCAATCCCCCCGCTGGCACCACGGTAGTCCGCCCTTACCCGGCTGGGTTGCTCCGTCTTGGTCGCCACTGCAATCGCCCTGGTGTTCCATCCTTTCCTCGTGCAGCCATCGCCATCACAATCCTCTCTTCCCTTGGCATCGCCACCCTGCTGTGTCCCCGGTGGTCCTGCCATCCGTCAGCGTCGCCGTCCTCTCTTCCACCAGCATTGCCACTCTGCCATGCCCCCGAAGGCAAGGCCATGCCGTTGCCATCCTCTCTTCCACCGGCATCGCCACTTCACCACTCCCACAGTGGTCCTGCCTTGCACTGCCATTGCAAGGGGCTCTCACAATCAGGGAGGAAACTGAGCTAATTAGTAAGTCAATCGTTTCCCATAGCTTCAATCTTCACTAAACCTTATAATATAGCTAGGTTCAAGGTCATGCCTCATACTGTCTATTGGTGTTCTTGTTCCCATTGGCAACGTTGCACGGTAGGTGCTCAACGGAATGTTTATTCACTGCAAAATTATGCATTGCAGTGGAGCAAAGAACACAATCCAAAATATGAACTGACATCAACAAGGTTGTTGTCGTCCAATCTATAGTCTTTTCACATTGATCATCTAAAAACCTCAACAATCAATTCACAGCGTTAGAATGCTGAACCATCCACCACATAGGTCTCACGTTTATTTTTAATCTTCCTATTGAATGAGCTACCACGTGGACACTATATACCTTGTTTCGCGGTTGAATGATATGAATCGATTCTACCTATATTTAAGGGAGTCAAATTAGACTTTTACCGACCCAAGTGCAGGGGTCACGGCGCATGGGGCTTCCTTGTTGCCACGGCACAACGCCCATGGACATCTCGGCGACCAGGCCACCACCTGCTAGCCTGTGCTGCTGACCATGCGCTCCACCTATAGATGGCCAAATGGGCAGCTCGGGCTGAGGTCAGTCGGGCTAGGCCATGCCCACCCACGGGCTGCACTAATATCTCAAGCACGGCCCAATAATACTCAGGCTGTGTTGGGCCAGTCCGAAGACACGAGAGCCCATCGTGCTTCTCCATGGAATAAGTCTATTTGTCATCCCTCATCTCTTTGAACCTTGTCTTATTTGACTGTAATAAGTCTATTGTGTGTCCCTCTTCTCTTTGGTTGTGCCTTATATAGCTAATTAAAGTCTTTGGATCCCTCAACTATCTTTCTTCCTGCTCATTGGACCGTGTCGTGCCGGGCCAGCCCACCATACCAAGGCATGGCCCAACTATCAGATCGGGCCGGCACCAGTCGTGCTATGTCATGCTTGGACCGGCATCAGTCGTGCTGTGTCATGCTTGGACCCGGCCGAATAGCCGTGCCATGGGCCGGCCGTCGTGCCTCCGGCCTTATAGCCATCTTTAGCTCCTTCACGCTCACGCGTTCGCGGGCACGCGGGATTTCTCGTCACTTCCTCCTCGACACCGGAAGCCCCGCGCGCGACGCGACGCGCAAAGCCAAACTACGCAACGCACGCAAAAAAGGGGGCCTGCCTTTGTACCAGCGGCCAGTGCGCTGCCGACTCGTCGACACTTGCACGCTTTATCAAAGGCAAAGAGGCCTCTCCCCTGCTCCTCACGCCCCCTACATCTTTCAGCTTCTTTTGAGCCTGAGCTTATTTCGACCAAACCAACTCTGATTTTGGAAAGAGAGGGAAAAAAAAAACGAGTACCGAAGTGATTTCAAGGCGAGATTTATGACCTTGCTGATACATACATTCGTGCATATACCGTATATATTAACTACTATACGTCCATGATGTTGGTCCATGCATTGTACAAAGGATGAGTCTTCTCTGCAATACTAATATTTAGCGTAGGTTAGTTTATATGTCAACCACTCATAGTTAAAGGGCAATACTGCGTTTCTGTCAAGTACGTATGGAGCAATGCCGTCATCTCACGAAACTTCAGTTCATTTCGTTCCCATTGTTCACTCCTTAGCAGAGGTGTAAACAAATACACTTTTCCATCATCTTAAAAAAATTAATCACTCATGACGACGTTCTAATGATGATTTGAACGTACAGTAGTACTACCAAAGAGAGGGAGCACTAAGATGGATCATGATGGCCGCCTTGTCGTTCTCATAAAAGCTGGAATTATTCAGCTCCTCAACCGCCTTACTCACCAAAGTATTATATGCCATGGCAGTACAACAAGGTCGTAGTAATTAATTTACCCATCAAGAAATCAACAATGATGATATACATGAGTACATTGGCACCACTCACCAGTCACCAACCATGCATTGTATATATATAATTATATATATGAGATAAGACCAATTAACAACTGCTTGGACATGATGAATCATATATATTAATATATATATAAGTTTCATAAACAAATTATCTAACAAGTAGACACCACACTTTAATTAACTCCTTGATTATTTTTTTGAGTAATTTTTCCTTAGTGGCTAGTTGCAGGTAGCAGCTGGAATCTTCACCTCACACTTCAGCACAGTGGCTCCCTTTCAGCGTAGGTCATTTCGGCATGGCTTCCTCTTTGTTTTGGCCCATAATGAGACGACAAAAGAGACCCTAAAAGATAAAAGAGATGTGTAGGAGAGATACCAAAGCAATGCCCAAGAAAAAGCCACACCGACCGATCCAATCTGAGCTAAGTGGTGACCATCCTGCTCACCCTTAGCTTTTGCCTGCAGATGATTCAGGTAAAAAAAAAAAAAAAGGTATATACATCAATGAATATACCATGAACAATGGCTATATATGATGAACTGAATCAAGATTCAACAAATTCTGAACCCAAAATTCTTACCACCGACACCGCCGGCTCTTCTGACGAAGGAGAGGAAGACGATGACGAGGGCGACAGCCGCGACGAGGCCGATGATGATTGCAAGTGTTTTCCCAGATTCATCTGATGAACAATTGGAACAGATCACCCACAGAAGAACAGTCAAAAGCCGAACTAAATCTACTCCTTGTATGTGATGTGAGTGAGTGAGTGTATATACAGAGTGTAGTAGCTTTGTGCAAAGCAGACTAGTTAAAGGTTTAAAGCTACACGAAAAGGGCAGAAAAAAGGCTGAGCGGTACACTACCCACAATGGGATACCAGAGATATCCTACCCCTGTTTTCAAATTCCAATGATACAAAGCTGGATCATTTTGAATCCACTTTGTGATATTCACAGCAACCTTATTGACACCAAGAAAGCGAATCCACATCAAAGTTCTTGCTAAAAGTTCAGAGCAAAAGTGAAGGGAAGAAAAGTTCTTTTGGGGGTTCTTTTGTTTGCTATACACCTTTGTGGCTTGCACCAAATTAACCACAATTTGCTTCTAGCTAGGCTGTACTATCTGTCATCACATTGGCACACCATATACAAAAACTAATATACTATGCCCATGCAAAATATACAGTTATACACAACACAGGTTAGATTTGAATTGTAATGTCTGACTAGTACACATTCAGATTTCTGTATTATTGCAGTGTGTGTAATTGAAGAAGGCCAAGCAGATCAGAACGTTCTATCTGGTGGATCAATCATTGACACTCTCTAAGAGAGAAATGTGGGGGCTACTCATGCAGTGTCATGCCTAATTTCAGATGTACATTTGCACAACACTACATGGAAACCCCTGATTTCAGGAAGCTCTGCTTACTTTCTTGTGTTGGTCAAGAACTGGATCACTCACATCCAACTGTGATGTCGATCCCTAATCATGTAGCACACAATGTGTAAATTTCTGCACCTCTGACTACAAGGTCTATCTCTACCAACATCAGAATTTCTTCACTTGAACTAGCAGCTAACTTCAGATAGTTCAGCTAACCTGAACAGAAGAGACTGGGTGTACCGTGCTTAACATTAACTACTGCAAGTCTAGGAAGGCTAAAAATTATTAGTGTCATGCAATGATGTTCGTGCACTCATCATGGCAGAGACGTAGGAAGTACCCTTGGGAATATATAAAGTCTAATTTCAGTAAATGACTAATGTTAATGATTCAATAGTACGTGTAGTTTAATGTTGCACTGATGATCCCAGCTATGGTTGCAGGATCCAACAAATATTCAGAATTCCGTAAAAAGTAGTGACCCAGATGTGCAGGCTCTCGCATCAACGCCATTTCTTTAACGCCCGTTTCGATGCAATGTAATGTACTCTACGGTTATCAAGATAACGGTGAGCCCAGTAAGATCCACAATGTACAATCATCAACAGCTAGATTATACAACTGGATCGGCCAATGTGCAAAGGAAAGCAACCTAAACACTTCAGTTGGAAACTGGGAAATCCCCAATAACTAATACTTATACCTTAAAATCCATATATCACTCAAGAAGAAAATCAAGAATGTGTCATGTGTATCACTATACGAACTGCATATCATTTGGCTTTATGTATTTTTTATTAAAAAATAAAGATCAAGATATTTTTAATTTGTCCCGCAAACAATTAAAATTGTTTTATCCCCAAGTGTCTCCTTTGGAGTTTTCACAATAATTAGTCTAATTATCGCGGTTCGAAAGATTTCTCATGTTTTACTACTTGTAAAAAAAAATTAGTGATGTGATGGTAAAGTCGTGGGTGCATAACAAATCCTGTTGTCCACAGATTTTTATACATACGCAGTTGCATTTTCAATAGAAATTTAGTTAGACCAAGATTCACCTCTTGCCACTAGTCTCCATCTCTTTGAGCGTGTGTTAACGGGAGCGATTTAGTAGGTGTTGAGTGTGGCATGCTTGTGTGCAAATAGCCATTTTCCATGAATTAAAAAAAAACAGCAGCATCCAAATTTTTTACTACTAGTTACTGTAGGGAAAAGGCCATGAAAAATGGAACGGCCAGAAGAATGGAAAAAAATGGTTTTATTGTTTGCCTTATGCTTATATTTATAAGTCAAAATTTAAATTTTTGAACTTAAGTTTTTTTATTTTTTTCATCGTAATTTATTCTACAACATTTGATTTTAATTAAGTCACTGAGAACACATATATAAAAATTTTATTTACAAATGCATTTTTATTTGCCAAATATTAGTAATAAGCCATTAGGATAAGCATACGAATAAGGGAAATAATGGGCTGTTTAGATGCTTACCGTGGTCACTGTACGTGTGCGGCACAAATCCATATGCGTATCCATTGCCTCCGCCCACAGCGCCGCCGCCGCCACTGATGCCATTCCCGCCGCCGCCAATGCCGCCGCCGCCGCCGCTGATGCCGCCTCCGTTGTTGTCCCCGGTTCCGGCATTGGACCAGAAGCGCGCGTAGCACTTGCCGAGGTACACCTCGCCGGCAGAGGCGTACCCGCAGCCGGCCTTGAGCTGCGACGACGCGGCGGAGACGCAGTCGGTGCAGGCCTTGGCGCCGAGGTCGCCCACGCACTGCGACATGGCCTGCACGTACCCGGCCGCGCCGGCGCGGTACGAGCCGTCGCCGGCGGGCGCCGCGGCGGCCACGAGCGCGCCGAGCGCCGCGTCGCGCATGGCGACGACGCCCGTGTCGCTGCCGCCCTCGCCGCCGCACTTCTTGAACAGCACCGTGGTGTCCTGCCTCCCGAGGAACGAGTCGTTCCCGTAGCGGACGAAGCACGCGCGCAGCTGCACCCCGGCGCCGGCCGCGGAGTTGCAGAGCGACGCGAGCTTGGTGGCGGCCGACCTGACGCAGCCGCCGCAGATCGCGGCGGGGAGGTCGGAGCGGCACTGGTAGACGCCGACGAGGCCGGTGCCGGAGGCGGCCGACGGCGAGGTGTAGTTGGCGTAGGCGGTGTAGCCCGCGCTGTTGGTGAGCGCCGAGAGCGCGGTGTCGACGTCCGCCGCGTACTGCGTCCCGGCGTCGTAGCGCGCCTGCGAGCACCCGGCGTACACGAACGCCGTGTAGTCGTCGGCGCCCCGCGCGCGCGTGGCGCAGGCGCACAGCACGAGCAGCGCCGCCGCGAGACGCTTCGACATGGCTGGGCTTTTCTTGGCTCCGGCGAGATCCGCGGCGGTGGTTGGCGTTGGAAGCCGAGACGAGGCGAGGCGACGCCGGTGGAGGAGGCAAGAGGGCAGTGGAGTTTGTGGTCACTGTGGTTTGCTTAGTTCGAAGTGATGATCTGATGGTTTTTTAAGGGTTTTTATAACTGGACCACTGCAGCAGGGCAACACAAGTCCGTGTCAAAGGTGAGTTTTTTTTTTCTCCACTGCAAAAGTAGGGTGCATGGCTGTATTCATGTCAAGAAAGCACTTTTGTAGTATCACAAGTATGGTAAAAATGCAAAAACTTTTGCCAAATAATCAAAGCGCATATATATAATTTTTTTTCCGAGGAACATATATGTTTTTCATGTATTGAATACCGTCGAGACTTCATTGTAAATATTCAATTACTGTCTAAGATATACTACTACTCACAAAATCAGAAATGTATACCCCTAAGCTCATTTAAACCGTTCAAAGGAGGTCCCATAGTAGTATTTTTGCTTAATTTTGCTGACGTGGCGTCTTAGTCAGAAAAAAAATTAAAAAAATTACGTGGGGCCTATATGTCAGTTGCAATTTTTTTCTTCTCTTTTCTCTCTTCTCTCTTTGCCGGCGGCGGGCGGCAATGGGCGAGCGGCTTCACCGTGACGAGCGCATGGCCGGAGGCAGGAGGAGCGGCGGTGGACGGGCGTGGCGGCAAGCGGCGGCTCCGGGCACAGCTGCAGAGCGTTGGCGGCAGCAGGCGGCGGGCGAGAACGACCGCAGAGGACTAGCGACAGTGGGCGGCGGTGCGCGGCCAGAGTCGGCGGAGCGGCGGCGGGCGAGCGGGGGACGCGGCGTCAGCGCGTGGCCAGAGTAGGCGGAGCGGCGACTGCGGCAACGGCAAGCGATCGGCGAGCGGCAGCTCCAGGCGCGAATGGAGCAGAGGGGCGGGGGACGCGGGGGGCACGGCGGGCGAGTGGCGGCAAGGCGCCGCCTTTTTCCCCCTCTCCGGCCGGCCTCATCTCCTCCCGGTCCGCCCGGCCTCCTCTCCCGTCTCCAGCGGTCGTGGGAAGAAGGGCGGTCGCCCGCAGGCTACGTGGGCAGGGGCGTGCCGACGGTGACGAGCAGGCAGCGGCCACTGTCGCACAAAGATGATGAGGAAGTACAACCGTCGCCGTGAAGCCGTTCCGGCTGCGCGCCGCTTGCCTCCGCCGCTGACGCTCTGCAGTCGTGCCCGCCCGCTAACGCCGCCGCTCCGCTTGCCTCCGTCCACGTGCCGCTACTGCTCCCCCTCTAAAACCGAAACAGAAGAAGATAAAAAGGAAAAGAGAAGAAGATTGCTGAGTAGGATGGTTGATCCCACACTTTTTCTCACTTACATGTGGGTCCCACGTATTTATCTTTTTATTTTTTGCTGACTAGGATGCTACGTCAGCAAAACCTGGAAAAAATACTGCTATAGGACCTCCTTTGTACGATTTAAGTGAGTTTAGGGTACACATTTCTGATTTTGTGGTTAAGGGACTAAAAAAATTCTCGCTGTTAAGTTAAGGGACCTTCGGTGAACTTATTCGAAAAATATATAGCGTGTGTACAGTACGGTTGCAAGGATCGCCCTTGGCGTATGGGCCGGATAATAGCTGCCGGGACGTGGCCGTCTAGAGGAAAAAGTACACCGAAGGTCCCTCAACTTGTCATCGAGTTACAAAATCGTCCCCAAACCGCAAAACCGGATGCAACACATCCCCTAACTTACAAAATCAGTGCAAACTAGATCCCTCGGCGGTTTTGACTCCGGTTTTGACCGACGTGGCAGCTGACTCAGCGTGGGACCCACATGGGTCCCACGTGTCAGCCTCTACTTCCCCTCCCATCTCCACCTCTCTTCCTCTCTCTCCTCCCACGAAAGCAGCTGGGTACGGTTCGGCTGGCGCGGCGGATGGCTGGTGCGGAAAAACTGGGCGGCGCCAGCGGGGGAGGAGCTGGGCGGCGCCGGCGACAGGTGACGCCTGACGCGGGGACTCGGGAGAAGGGGCGACACGGGAGAACGGGCCACGCGGCGGCGATGGACTCGGCGGGTGCCCCGACCGCGGAGCTGTTCGCCGCCTTCGCAGGAGAACCGCGGAGCAGGCGAGCGAGGCGGGCGGCGACCTCGCTTTCGTTCGTGTGCGGCGTCGGCGTCGTCTTCATCCTCTGCAGCGAGCTCCCGGCGAGTTGGTGAAAACTGCAAAACCAGGCAGGGGCTAGCAGGCAGTCTCGGTCGCGTGTGCGTCGGGCGGCGTTATCGTCGGCGAAGGAGGCGGACGAGGGGCTGAGGGCCGGGTTGCTACGGGCGGTTCACGGTCGTGGGCGGCGGCATGTCGGAGGCGTCGGGCGCCGCGCGCGGGGTGTGTGGGGGAGTGCGGCGTGCGGCCGTCGTCGTCGCCGCGGGCTGGAAGCTAACCGGCGGAGAGTCGCCGCTGCCGGTGGCATCTCCTCCCTCATCGGCAGCCGCCCGCGTCCGCCGTGCCCATATACTCTTTGCCATCCGTCTTGTCACGCCGTTCCTCCCACCCCGCATGCGCGCACGACGTGCCCACCGTCAGAGGAGAGGGACACGTTTGGTGGGTGGAAGCGGACAGCGACAGCGACGATGACAACACGGGTCCGGCGAGCGGCGAGCGGCGGTGCACCTCGATCCAGACGGCATGGAGGCCACCTATAGGCTACAGCGCACGGTCAGCGGCGGCAGAGGCCTGCCGAGGCAGCGCGACAAGCGTTGTGGGGGCGAAAGTCGGTGGCAGCTGCACGCCGTCCTTGCTGCCCCACAGCGCACGCTTATCTTCTGTGTATTCAACTCTTCATCTCCACAAGACTTCAGTGATGAAAAGACACACGATGCACCGCCGCCTACTGCTAGCCCGATGTCCTTGGTGACCGGTGCTCCTTGTCTCTGTCTTGATGCAGCAACGTGCCTCGTCGTCTCCCTCTCCCATCTCCCATCAATAGATTCATCCCCAAATTTGCGATTGGTTGCATATGGACGACGATGGTGGCAGCCCAGGCCGCTCGACCGCCACGGCGCCACGCCGCTGTCCCGGGCCGCTCAACGTTGCGCCACCACGTGGACCGCTCGACCTCCGCGGCGGTGGGCGCGAAGGTAGAAGCGGGCGCCACCGCGGTGGTGGGTGCGGAGGCACGGCTGCTGCTCTGGACCGCCGCCGGCATCGGTCTGTTGTTCGGCGAAGTGAGAGAGAGGGACAGAGGAGGAAGGGAGAGAATACGGGGAAGAGAGGAGGCTGAGGTGGCCACGCTGACATGTGGGGCCTCACGTGGGTCCCACGCTGAGTCAGCTGCCACGTCGGTCAAAACCGGAGTCAAAACCGCCGAGGGATCTAGTTTGCACTGATTTTATAAGTTAGAGGATGTGTTGTATCCGGTTTTGTGATTGGGGGACGATTTTGTAACTCGATGACAAGTTAAGGGACCTTCAGCGTACTTTTTCCCCGTCTAGAGCATCAACTACTGGGGTTGCCTCTTGCCCACGCCACGGGCCTGAGGCCGTCACGCAGCCTCGGTGCTGGAGCGGTTGATGGGCTTTCTGCCCCCACCGGTTCGGAATTTTTTTTATTTATAATTTTTTTTATTAAAAGTTTTACAAAAATAATTTTCCATTTTGAAAATTGACGGAAATAGTCGCCTACCGCCCTCTGGGAGGGCGATTTTTAAAAATCGCCCTCCCAGAGGGCGGCGAAACTGACGTGGCAGACGGCCGTTCGCTCTCGGGCGACGGCCGTCAACGAAATTTGCAGGCGGCCCCCTTGCCGCCCTCCGCGAGGGCGATTTTCTACTGTGCGGGGGGCCGCCTGCAAATGGGCGGCGAGGGGGGGCATGGAATTTTGCAGGCGGCCCCCTTGCCGCCCTCCGAGAGGGCGATTTTGTACTGTGCGGGGGGCCGCCTGCAAATGGGCGGCGAGGGGGCATGGAATTTTGCAGGCGGCCCCCTTGCCGCCCTGGGGGAGGGCGATTTTTGCCTCCCCCCTATAAAGCCCAGCCCCTCCCCTGTCAAATTTCATTATATTCACTAAAAATCCAAAAAAACGAAAGAGAGAGAGAGGGGAGGGCAGCAGAAGGGGAGCGGCGAAGCCCTGCTGGTTCGCTCACTTCATCACAGGTATGCTCCCATACATCTTTTGCATTTGTACTAATATATTACGTTTGAGTACATATGTTGCGTTTTAGTTTTAGTTCCATATATTTTAGCAGATCTGTAGCACACAGCACATATGTGTAGATCCAGAGCATAGAATATAATAGTATGAATTGAGACATAGACAGTAGTGTTAATTGTAAGATGTAGTTTAGTTTGATCTGGAGAATGTAACCTACTTTTAGAAATTTAGAGAACAATATTGTAGAGAATGTAACTTAGGGCGTAGTACAGAAATGCGAGGTTAACGCAGTTATTGTTTTCATCAGGCACAATGTCAAGTAAGGTCACATTTCAGATAGTTCACGGTGAAGGAAATATTAGATTTGGTCCAGATGGTGTTGATCTGTCAGATTTTGTAATGACATCTAAGGGCATCGATAGGCCTGCGGAGAGAACATTTGAGTCAATTTATAGTTGGTTGTTGAGAGGATTTAGAATAGACCAAGAAGTCTACACAATGTCAGTATCTGTTGTAGTGAGTCGTTCAATAGAAGGTTATTTTTGGGAACTAATGCCAATGGACAGCACTGCTGCTTGGAGACGGTATGTGGAAATGGCTTTTGAACGGTCATGGCCCCTCGTTATATTTGTGTCGGTACAAGAGAAAGATACAAATGTTTCAATGCAAACCGAAGATGTGGAGGGTCCTAGCAATGCAGGGGATGTTGTTGGACCATCGATGCAAAATGAGGAAAATCAACAAAGGGAGGAGCAGGCCATGGGCATGGCGGATGAGGGGGAGAGAGTCGGTATAATTGTTGATGAAATGGAGAGGGAAGATTCGGATAATGAGCAAGCGGAGGACGACGCATCATCCGATGAGGAAGGTGATGTAATGGCCACTGATTGGGCAAATGAGGACTTCTCTGGTCTTGTTATATCAGAGGGTGATCATGTACCCTGGGAGTATAAGGAGAACGAGGTAATTGAGGGTGCAAGGTATGCTCATAAGGATGAGATGAAGGAGGCGGTGAA